GTTATGAGGCGTGTGCCTCCTAACTGATTCTGTTGAGCCTCCCCTCGTGATATGTGACGTGGCAGATTCGTATTGAAGGATTCTTCATCACATCTTTTTGCCTTGTTACCTTATTGGCTAGAGGAGAATCTTTGATATTGTGATGATTGTGGCTGTCGTCAGATGGGCAAGTGGGACTCTCTGATTAGTCCCGCGTTTGCCGGGGTATTTCTCCTAGGAGAAGAAAGCACGGCGCAACTCTGCACCTTAACTGCCATACCAGTGACTCCACGTTGGCGAAGGCCCGGTCTTGGCCCCCGACTGGACATGCCTAAGTTCTAGCCAAGCCGAGCTTGGCGTTAGTTTGACTTCTCTTATTTGACGTTCTCCCTGAGGGATACGTTAACAGCCATCACGTCAACTTTATAGTCCCTAATTAGTGTGATGGTTAATCACACACGCTACACTAACGACTCATAAAGATTGATGTGCATTTTCATGGATTAGCATACACTTTCACATTTTTACTAAAGTAACTAGAGTGGGAAATTTTATAAAAGGTTTTATTACTTTATAACATTATAAATTTAATGAGTTTTTGTCCTATTGAACCCGTTCTGCTAACGACCCTCCACCACACAGGAGAGCGGTGGGTGAGAATAGACACCCATTCAACGGCCATTTTATAGGTCGCTTCCTTATACCCTCTTTATAGCATGGCTTCGTAAATGAGGCATACTAGCGATTCGACTTACTCATGTTATACATATAGTACTAAACTTTTAATATATATATATATATATATATATATATATATATATATATATATATATATATATATATATAGAGAGAGAGAGAGAGAGGTAGGTTCAAATGTTTCTCACATCTATTGTGTGCTAGAATGCACCAATAGAAATTTAGTATTAATTATATATGTATATTAAATGCTATCCATACTTATAACTCATTTTTATGGAAACTAATTAAATTCGTCATTAATGTCAACAATAATATTCTTTCAGAATGAATTCATATCTAGAAGAATGAGAGTGTATTCCAGCAGAATGAGAGTGTATTCTAGTAGAATACACTCTCGTTCTTCATATTCTATGCAACTTTATTATATTTTAAGTGAGTGAGTCATGAAACAAAATACGAATTCATATATAAAACCTAGATGCGAATTCATTCTGAAAGAATGTTATTGCTGACATTAATGACGGATTTAATTAGTTTCCATAAAAAGAGAATTATAATTATGAATATCATTTAATATACATATAATTATGGAAATCATTTAATATCTATATTTATTTTATTAAATAATTATTTAATTTACTAAATTCCTATTGGTGCATTCTAGCACACAATAAATGTAAGAAACAAAATAACATAGCCCTATATATATATATATATATATATATATATATATATATATATATAAGGGTGTATTTTAAACATTTAAAATAAAGTTCAAATATTTATATTAATAATTTCAAAATTAATCTTTTTAATTAATCAAATAATTATATTTAATTAAATAATGAGGATAATTCAAATATTCTAGATATTAGGAGATCAAATTACCAATTTAAATATTCAGATTTTATCCAATTAAAACAATATCTTTAAATGTAATTATCCTAATCAAAATCTTAATTATCTCAAAAATTCGTTGAACAGAAGGTCCCCCACGTGGCAAATAAGCTAATTTGATATATTTCATAACTCTATTGAAGCAACATACTATTGAACAACAAAGCTTAAACCCTAATGAAAATCAAAATTCACAAGGATAATAACATACCTCTGATTTGTTATAGTAAACAAACCCTTTTGATCAATCCAATATTCCCTTGAAAACTAGCTTCAGTTGTGTGCAAGTCTCTAATGGCTCACACCCACAACACAAGAACCCTAGAAGATTTAGGAGAGAGGGGAGAAGTAGGCAATTTTTGGCTATGGTATATCTGAATGCATTGGCCAAAAATTCCAAGCCATAAGGCTCTATTTATAGCTGATTAGGAAACACCTAGAAACCCTAATTTGAACATAAAATAATATTATTTCAAATAAGGTAATTATCTAGCTCATTAATTATCTTCATGAAGGCTTACAGAAGACTCCAAAGGAGCCTCCAAACCGTCCCACACATGAGGGTTCTAGAACATGTCATCTGCTCAACTTTTAAACAATTACAGCTATTGTCCTTCAACTTTTAATTAATTTTAATTAACTCAGAATTAATTCCAAATTAACTATGATTAATTATAAATTAATTATAATTATTTCTAATTAATATATTACTCATATAATATATTAATAAATCATTTATCTATCTCTCTCTAAAATCAAACTAGACAATTTCTTGATTATGATGGCAACCCAAAATGGATTTACTCTTATTCATCAATATTATACAAATTTAGTTAGGACCTTAGACACCTTAATCCAACAGTCTTTTTCATTAATAATGATTTTAAAAAACACTTTTTACATTTTGGAACCATTTGAGATATTAATTATAGATAAAGATCATAGATTTTCCAACATACATTTGTGCTTATATATACAAAGAAGTGTTTGAAAATTTTATGATTAAATATTATATTTTTTTATCAACAAAAATCAAAATAAGATAATCATTTTATTAAAGCTACATGTAAGAAGGTTGCAATTTTGGTCCCTAAAATATTTATCTTGCAATTTTGGTCCAAATTTGATATTTTATAACCATTTTAAAATAAATAATGCTTTTATGTTTTCTTTATAAATATTTGTTTCATTTTATATTTTCGTTACTAATGATGTCCATGTTTATGCTTTACTCATGGTGTGTTCAAGTTCTTGCTAGGAAATTGGTAGTCAAGCATTATCTTGCTGTCACATTGATTTTAATGGATTTTATAAATATCATGTTGCTACACTATCTTTATAGACATGAAAGTCTCACAAGTTGGAAATCTTATTGGATAAGTTGGGGAAGTTGAAAATTAGGACATAGTGGTGGGGCATTTAAAGTTGGTTGATATTAATTTGAGGGGACCTAAATTTTGTTTCTATTAATTACTGGTGTTTTGAAGTTCATTGTTAACCCTTTCATACTTATGGTGTTGTTATTTGTTATTACTAGACATCATCCCATTCAATAACTAAATGGACTATTAAATATTATGCATACATTATAAAATTACCAATACCAATAAATTTAATCGACCTCAAAATTTAGAATGATGTATATGTATTACAAGGCATGATTATTATATATAAAGCTATTATTTGTATTATTAATCTTCATAGAGTAGATTATGAATCAATTCATTGCACTAACATATAAATGATAATTGTGGTTTGTTATTTACACCTTCATATTTAACTTTTTTTCAATCAAACCGTGTAGTACACCAGTCTCACACCTAGTAATCACAAGGAATCAAGAATGTCAAAAAAGAATAACTGTTTATTTTTACAGAAATTAAAAAGAAAAAATAGAGTCTTAAAATTAGAATGTCAAAAATTCAAAATATTTAGAGGAATAGTTTATCCACTGTCTATTAAAAACCGTTGACAAAAAGCGATAAACTCAGAGTCGATATCAACCCACCAACCGGGACACAATCAAGTTCATGAATTCACCAATTCAAAGTTTTACTTAATATTACCTCCAATTTCCGTCGTAGCTCCGAACATTGACTTAACTTGGAACACCTGACTATCGTTGTCATTTTCACCATTGTGATCGTGTTTTGAGATATTTAGTGGTGAGATTGGATGGGAGAATTTTCCCCTTTTATGGATCAATTAAGTTCTTGAATTTGGCCCTAATTGTCCAAAAATCAAATCCCTTCCATATTCGATTACATATTTGCCAATTTTGACTTTCTTTTTCGCTATATTACGCCCTCTAACTTCTCTCTGATTGTCTAATTTCATCCGATATAGGAAAAAGTAAAGGGAAATTGATTAATCTAACGAACTATTTCGAAAAAATAACAAATATTTTTAAAATTTTGTAATGATTGTTATGTCTGGAACAGGACATTCCGGAGCGATCTTCGGTATATTGGAGTAGGATTTCGGAATAGCTCCGGGTTATTTTTTTTATTTGTGTGTTTATTTTTGTGTTGTGTGTTAAAACATTTTGTTTATTTATGGTTTTATATGGTTTTTGTGTTGTGTTATTTTATTATTATTATTATTATATGGTTTTTAAGTTATAAATTGTATATATTGTAAAAAATAACAGGGTTTAAAACCTTTAAATCTACCAAAATTTATAATTACATAAGTTGAATATGTTTTAAATAATTGTAGGGTCGAATAGATTTTAAAAGAATGAAATCATGATTCAAACAAAATAAAGATTGCTCAAGAGTGTAAATAAGATTCTGATTTCGATTAGAGAATACAAGCTCGTTATAATATTGATCGTAAGAACTGCTCAAAAAGTATTCCCTACTTTTTAACTAACATCCATTTACATAGGTTGACTCCCAATGAAGACTTTAGATATTACAATTGTGAAACCTTTCGCATTACATTCGGACACAACACATATACATTCCGAAAACTAATAATAATAATATAATGTTTAAATGGACCTCTATTTTATCTTCGTACCCCAAAAAAATTATGCTAATCGCTTGCGATATAAAATGGCCAGGTTCCGGTTGAACCCTCTAAATGATTTCCCTGCGATCAACATCTCTACGAACCAACATAGAAACACCCCATAATCTCATTTATCGTCAGACTATTGTGGTACGTCTGCGCCTTTTTCAAATGTGATTTTGAACCTCTCAAGAGGGATTACATCATTGGGGTTGGGACCCCAAAAATTGATACCAACTACGAATTTGTAGATACGGGATCGCATAGCTATAAACCAAAGATTCATTTCCACAACACTTGTCATCTCCTTTATGACATTCAACGCCCTAAATTTGTGTTTGTGAAATCAAACACAACTATGTACCTAGCAGAATGTCTCTATTTCTTTGCAGACTACTTTTATTTGTACAACCCAATTGTAATAATAAATATAACAAGTCCCTATATATCCTGTTCTTTCTAAATACTGCAAAAGCAAAATAAGTTGAACGTTTTACAACATAATTTACACCACAATAATACCTACACAATTTTGACAAAAAAAAAAAGGTAGCTTTAACAACATTGCTCTTCATCACATAAATTTATGACATTCATGGATTGATTCGAGATTCATAGAATGAGTATGAATCGTGGGCAAGAGTCTGCAACATAATAAAACGTGTTAGAATCCTCTCTCTCTCTCTCTCTCTCTCTCTCTCTCTCTCTCTCTCTCTCTCTCTCTCTCTATATATATATATATATATATATATATATATATATATATATATGCAGTGACACGTGTTGTAAATAGGGTTAAATGCAAGAATTAGCAACGTAACATACTTCTGATTTGTTTATTGTTTGTAGCATCTTACTTTCATTTTTTAATACACAGCAATTCCCAGATTGAAAGTATAATGGAAAGAGAAAAATAAACGAAAGTAGGATGCTATGATACACATAAATAGTGTATTTGTTGGATTTTTTTATAAATAAATAGATGAAATACCTGTTCCTGTGAGCGGAAATACATGAAAGGTGTATAATTGAGGAAATTTGAGACTCTGGAGGTATAAATATCAGCGTACCTGTAGTGGTAGTAGTAGTTTGGAAATTGGAAATTGAAATTGGGTGATTAAAAAGTGAATATAAAATATAGAGAAAGAAAGAAATGTACTTTTCAATCTGTCTCATGAGGTGACTCTTGTCCCACAAGCCTGCACGTGAAAGATATCCCCACCTAACACCAAATAACACATACACATTATATATATATATATATTTGAAGAAGAAAGCATATAGATAAATGTTGATTGATAAATAATAGGGATTCAGTTGAAACCTTTTGCTGAAGTGTTCACCATCTTGTTCCAACATTGGCGCGATTTTTTCATCTAAGCGTTGCATAACAATCAGTAAGTTTTGCACGCTCTCCGTCAGCTCTTTATCATCCATATGAGTAGCAGCTAATGTCTACAAAAAAATTAAAAAAAAATAAAAAATGTATATATTATTTGTAAACTCATATACCCAAATTAAAAAATATGGAAGAATTTCGTATATGCCCTTGCTAAACATGTAAATATCGTATTTGCCCGGTCTAAACTTTAAATATCGTATTTGCCCTTCTTAATGTTTTTTAATATCATATATATCCAAACCTTTTTTTTTTTTTTTTTTTTTAAATTTAATAATCTTTTTTATATTCCTAAATCATTTTAATTTAAGGAAAAAAGTGGATGGACCATAATGCCCTTGGTTCTTAAATCCCTTTTGACTAACCGGACGCATTGTTTCTATTTCTCCCCACCCCTAAATCCCCAATCCCTTGTGTTGTCGATCGCTGGGAACCTCTATCCCCAAGACCAGCTGATGGTTTCAACGGACTTCTGCCTTCGACGGCCCCGGAGGAGCGAAATCTCCGGCAAGCTCAAAGCCTTGTTGGGGTTTTCCGGCAGTGTTATCAGCACCCATCTTCTAGGAACAATTTCCAAAAAGGAAAATATGTAAATTTCAAATTTCTATGGAATTGAATACACAAATTCTGAAACTTTGTTCAAAATTGAATTGAAAGTTGATGATTATGAGAACACAATTCTCAATGGAGTTTTAAATCTGGTCAAAGATCGATTTTAATGTCTCTGCAAGCTAAATGAAATAAGAAGCTAAAGGAAAGGAGACGAGGTGATGAAGGATATGAAAATGGAGGTGGGATTGATTATAATACACGTCCTCTTGACACTATTTTACAGCAATTTCATTGATGGTCTGTTGGTCTCCCGGTGGTAAGAATTGACTTGATTTTACATATATGATCGGTGCCCAACTTACATTAATCATTTTTCTATAATTCACCGGATGGTTAATTCTACAATTGCATGTTAAGATTTATACTGTTGTTTTTATGTTAAATACTTTTCTGCTAATAAGAAGCAGCTGATTCATTTTTCAACATGCTGGTGGTCTTATTCAGTTGGAAGCAGCAATCGTAAGTAACCTGATGTGAACATGTGTTGTACTGGAACCAAGGGCATTATGGTAAATCCACTTTTCTTTTAATTATAATGATTTAAGAATATAAAAAAAGGATTATTAAAGGTTAAAAATAATAAAAAAAACAGATTTGGGTATATATGATATTTAAAAACATTAAGAAGGGTAAATACGATATTTAGATTTTAGGCCGGGCAAATACGATATTTATATGTTTAGCAATGGCATATACGAAATTCTCCCATATATATATATATATATATATATATATATATATATATATATATAGGTAAAGGTTCAAATGAGAACCAAAAAAGGTTAAGAACCGTAAGAACCTCTAATTTTAGATGTTTATAAAGGGTTTAGGGTTTAGGGTTTAGGGTTCTAAACCCTAAACCCTTTATAAACATCTAAAGTTAGAGGTTCTTAACCTTTTTTGGTTCTCATTTGAACCACTCCCTATATATATATATATATATATATATATATATATATATATATATATATTTAAGTAATTACTTGAGCAGGACGACCCTTGTTTCTCCTTTGAAGAGCCAAACGAAGTTGATTAAAAAGGTCACCGATAACCTCCTTCTGATTTATTAATTCTACAAGTTTAGCTCGGTGCTCTCGGCTATGAATCAGAGCATTATACTGCAAAAAATACAAACAGACAAATAGCTTTAATTTTGGCTGGTAATTTTGATAATATATTCTTATTTTAGTTTATTATATAATACCTCTTCTTCCAATTCACGACAAATCAATGCTGTCCTCCAGCGAAGATGTACTTTAGATACGCTTACATCTGTATAGATATGATCCCCAACATACAATATTTCATCTCCATGAATGCCTAATGAATTTTCAACCATTTGAGCACTTCCTCCAGAATATAACCCCCCTGCAATCCATCAACTACCCTTAATTAATTCCAACGAACCCCTTACTTTTTTAGGCAAAATAAATAAACAGTAATCTTAAGGTGACATGACTTGTTGTTTTAAAACTTATTTTTATGCATTCAACAGGTTTAGATGTTGCCATGGAAAGAAAGCCCTTACATTTTGATGAGGACAATATTTGAAAAGCTCATTGTATATATGAATTAATACCATGTTCTAGTAACAAAAAAAAACAACATGTCACATTGTAAGGGCTTTCAGTCCCTTTTATGAAACTTCAGGTCTGCTCAGCCTCTCAATCTCAAAGAAAGGGTTAGAACAACAAGTCACCCGATGGGTTTTATCAAAAGAAAATATATATATTATATATAAATAGTTAGGGCAAAATGGGTCAAAAAGCAAGGGGTTTCTAATCGCATTAATTAAATAATTAACGATGAATATCATTTATGGTTGTTTGACCTGGACGAGCCTTGAAACATGGTCGCATAAGGCCATCACTTGTCACCACTTCATATAAAGGGTGTGACATTTGAAAGAATTCTGGCTTCCTAGCTGACACAATCACCTACATCAAAAATATTAAATATATTTTCTTTCATTTTTGAAAACAAAGTCAAAAAGTAAATTCAGGGAAAGTTTGACTAACCATCTCGAATAAATCTCGCCAGTTCATATCATTTGGGAGAAATCTATTAAAAGAATGCCTCATCATTTTGTCTGTATAGATGTAATCTGAGTTGGTGATCAGCAATAACCTTTTACCAGCCTGGTGTTGTCAGATCAGAAAACAAAATTATTATTTTCTTATTAAAGAAAAAAAAATTAGCAGGAAATACCTCCTTCTGGTCAAGAAGTGCTAAAGGTAGCTCTGGATCAGGCTCTACAAACAGCTCTGGCTTCGACATTATCTCATTCTGTAGCATAAAATTAATTATAAAATTACTACTATACTATTCAAGGCTTAAATTAATTATAAATTTACCTTTAGTTGACCTTCTACATGAGCCCTAAAGAGGGCCTTACCAACAGCCTGAAGCAAACGAAAAAATTCATAGATCGATGAAAATCAACATACAAAAGAACTCTAGCAAGTATTTTATTAGAAAAAAAAAAAAAAAAAAGTGTTGTTCTTGCCTTGTAAAGCCCTTCATAATCAAGTACGCCAAGATCCGGTGAAATAATCCCTTCATCCAATCTATCAACCATCTGAAATACAACAACAATGGATCATATTAGTTTTATTTATCTAAAACTGGAAAGATGTCACATATCTGATGGTGGGAATAATGAATTTATATATTAAAAAAAAAACAGAGTGACTACCTACCTGCACATATGCCACTGCTTCTGAGACAGAAAATAGTGTATTGAGAAACTCCCACCGACTTTCATTCCGCAGGTCCACCAGTTCCCTCCCATACATCTCACTTTCAGAAGCACACAATTAACAACCAAATCAAAACATATAAAGTAAATAAATTATCCAACTTCTGTTTTTCATAATATTAAGGTTAAAGGCCACACCTTACAGCTTGGGTGGATAGCAGTTTTGTGCCATGCATAGCCCTCTTCACATAACCAAATCGGTCAGCCTTCACCAAGTTGCCTTTCTCTTTATCTATGACAAGTCCTCTAATAACCTATTAGAAAATAAATCATGATATTATCATCACTAGTAGCATGATAAACTTAGCTTGCAGAGTGAAAAAAGAATTACCAAATCAGGGTCAAAAGCAAGTCCATCAACAGGAAACCCAACATTCTTTAGATTCTCCATGCAATAGTCATAAGCTCTTCCTTCCCAAGCCTTCAAGTTCATAAATTAAAGTCATTTCATTTGCAAACAAAAATGTAAGTACTTGGTAATGGAATGAAAAGGATAGATTATGGAATGCCACTTGGCTTCTTTCATTGAACCACTTGAACAATAAAGCATTTATTTATGTGGTCTTAAATCTTACTTTAGTAAGTAATTACCATCACATTATAGTGCATTAGAGTGTAATCCATGTCATATCCGATTGCAGTGATTGACCGAAGATTTAATGTGCGGCTACAAAATATGCCACGTGGAGAATGCCTAGAAGAAGATGGATCCTGCACAAGAATCATAGTTAGTAAAATCGCTTTCATGTATGATGTATCCCAGACTGTTCATATATCAGCAAGGTGCAAGAGAAAACATGTCTAAACAAATGAGCAAACGTATTAGCATGTTACAAAGTTTAATTCAAAAACCATGTTGAAAACGTTTCTAATTTTGCAATAGTGAGCAAAGAGAGGGTAACTAAGCACTTGATTTTAGCATAAGAAAACATTTGAAACAAAGGGTCTTAAACATTGACCTAAATATAACAATCATGTCAAGGAGAGAAAGAAATAGCAGGACGAACTTGGAACATCATGTAGAAGTCAATCAAGCTCAGTACTTCAATTACAAACGTGCAAGCAAAGAAGGAAGGAAACCTGTATTCCAAGGTCCTTAAGCAAGCCCTCCGCCTCTTTGGCTTGAAACCTGGCAACCTCCTCAATTGGACCTTTCCAAGCAATATCTGTATGGCCATTTATCCCTGCTTCAACACAACATAACATAGACGTGTAAGAATAACGAAGTAATGTTTTAAGCGAAGAACTGGTAGTGTTGCGAGATTCATTCACAGATGGTGCAGTAAAGTAAAGTAGGCAAAGCGTGATCAAGTCTACAATCTAATGAGCAAAGAAAACACATTTAGTGTTTAGGAACAAGGATCAAAGTTCTGAAATCGCAGCTCATATCGAGTTGGTTCTGTTTGAACTTTGAATTATAAGCCATTGGAATTGTAGCAAGGAGAAAAGGGATGATGTATAATAATAAGAATAGGCACCGTATTTGAGATTTAAATCGCCTTTGGTGCTCTGGCCGAGATAATCGAAGTCACAGTTCTGCGAAGAAGTATTAACGGAAAAGATATCATCAGCAGCAGCAGCAGCAGCTCCGCTGGTTATGGCGGAATTGGCGTCAACGGTGCATTGACAATAATGTAGTGGCCGGGGTCTTCTCTTGGTAGTTAAAGTGCTACTGCTGGGAGAAACGGAAACGGAAGCGGAAGCGTAGACTGGAAGAAGAGGGTGCCGGACAACAGCATAGGTCAATGTGATGCCCGCCATTGACAAACACAACTCAATGAGCAGAACTGAAGTGGTACGTTAGGAGGGAATTTTGGGGATGAACTCTGAAGTACTTTACTGATTCTTGTTGCCTTTTTGCCGGATTTGGATCGGATTTCGGATAAGCAACTCTGGATCTCTACCGCTCTACACCCTTGTCCGTCTCGTACATTGGGCTTTCACCTACATGGACCAAGGGGGTTGGGGGCGTTGGGCTTGTGTTTGTTTTCTTTGTTCTTTTTTTAAATATTTTTTATTAGGTTATACCGTTATAGCCGTGATAAACTACGGTTGACTTTTTTAATTAAATTTTATAATAAAATTTTAAAATTATGAATCAATTATTTTAAAATAAAATAATTAGAATATTTAGTTTTTTGTATTTATGTAAAATTATAATCATTAATTTAAATAAATATGTAAAATTATTTTTGAAGCTATATCAGACAGCTTTAGCTTTTATTTGTGAATTAATGAAAAATAATAATATTGTATAATGAAATTATAAAAAAATTATAAAAAAATACAATAACCACGACAAGTGATGTAAATTAAAATTTATATATGGCAAATACGAAATTAAGTTGTTGAAAGAAAAATAAAGACAACATACTTTAAAAAAAATAAGACCTATTGTTTTAGTTTTTTTAGTTTCATGGTAGAAAGAAGAAACGTACCATGGATCCAAAAAAATATATAAGATTCACATTTCATATAATCAAACAAATACATATCATGTTTTTTATAAAGTCAAATGCATATACTCTTACAAACATATTATGCATTTACATATATCATTCACTGTTGCCTCTTCTCCATTTTATCTTTTCAATTTGAAGCATCCTTCCATTTGCAAAAAAAAAAAAAAACAACCTTAACTCAAAACAGGATACGAATCTCCTTTGTCAGTATGTTTTATTTGTTTAACTTTTGTTAATTGTTTCACTTCTTAAGCTATTGTATCCATTTGTATTTTTGATATTGTTATGTGTGTTACTTCTTTGTGTAACATCATTTTTTCATTATTTCTGGTTTAATTCTTATTGAAATTTCCAAAAACATATCATTATTAACATCGTACTTTAAAAAATGACATTTAAACAAATACTATCGTCTTACTTTCATTTTTTTCCCAGAATATCATCTTACTTTAAGTTTGCCAGTTTTATAGAAAAAAGTTGTTTTGAATATCATCCTATTTTAAATTTGACAGTTTTATGGGAAAAAGTTGTTTTTATTATTGACTTTGCGAAAACATTTCATTATTAACATTGTACATATAAAAAATGACATTTAAACAAATGTTTTAGTCTTACTTTAATATTTTGGGAAAAGCATGAATTACCGGTAAAAATGGCGATTTAACCCATTTTTTCCGGTTTACCGGTTTCATTACTTGCCAGTTTCACTAAAGTCCCATTATTTTACCCTAATTTGCGAATAAGTCTCAAACTAAAATTTTGTGATGATTTGGCCATTTTATTCATGTAACATACATTTTATCGGTTTAATTGCTGACTTAGACACCTAGTCATTAAATTAGCTGATAAGATGGATACGATGAGTTATATAATGCTACATTTACTGTAAAATTTGATATTCATCTCATCGGCTCATTTATGACTATGTATCTAGGTCAGCAATGAAACCAATAAAATGTGTGTTTCCAGGAAAAAAATGCAGAAAATGAGTTGATGTATCATGAGATGGATATATTGGGTTACATAAGATTAGATAGACAATTTGATATTTCTTATAAATGTAAAAAATAACGCAGTTGTTGCTAGTTTATGTAATTATTGCAGTCTTTGTTGGATGCATTTTATGTTCCAAAAGAATATACAATACATCAGGATATCAAGTTTTATGTTAAACATAGCATTATATAACTCAACATATCCATCTCATCATCTCATTTAATGACTAGGCGTCCGGGTCAGCAATGAAACCAGTAAAATGTATGTTACATAGAGAAAAGGGCCAAATCACCACTAAATTTTAGTTTAGGACTTATTCGTAAATTAGGATAAAATAATGAGACTTTAATGAAACAGGTAAGTAATGAAACCGGTAAACCGGGAAAAATGGGTCAAATCGCCATTTTTACCGGTAATTCATGCTTTTTCGTAAACAAAATTTAGTTTGAACTTTTTTCGTAAATTAGGGTAAAATTTTAGGACTTTTCTGGAGATTTCCCTAATATTTTCTAGGAAAAAATTGTTTTTATTATTGAATTGTGAAATTATAGATCATTATTAGCATCATACTTTTAAAAAATGACTTTTTTCGGATTCTTTTCAGATGTTCTGGAAAAGTTTTATTTTATCTATATTAGGACTCATTAATAGAACAACAATAAAAAAAATAAAAAATAAAATAAAATAAAATAAACGTTAATAGATACTACATTTTCATTTTCTTTCACATATGACCATTTAACTATTTTTTTCATATTTGGACCAATTACGTAACCTTAATTAATTATTTTCAGTTAAAAGTTTCCTACTTTAAACGAACATAATTGTTTTCATTTTTCGCTAATTTTTTTAATTCTAACAAAATGAACAACCATTAAAGACACATGGGCATAATGGTGATTTTTTGGGACCATTACTATAAAAAAAAATTAACAATTTGTGTGATTAATCTTTTTTTGTTCTGTCATATATAGCATCCTACTAACATTAACCTTGAAATGTCTAACCTTTATAGGTAGGCATTCTATAAATTGAGTTTTTTTTTTTACATATTTTTGGACCAACAAACCGACCTATCTCCTCTGTTTCTCCTTTCAATATCATAGTTTGGTTTGCCACACCAGCTTTCACAAGAGCCTTATTTGGATCAAAACCTTTGGAAACTATAAAAGTAAGATGGGATTGAATTCCTTCATTGCGTAATTATATCATTTGATGTTAATGTCTTTCAAAAGTAATTAGTTGTTTGTGTGCTTGGTATGCGCAACTCAACATGTAGAAATAAAGAAAGATGGGATTGAATTCCTTCCAAATAATAAGGAATGAATAGTTAATTCTATAAATGATGGAATGTCATATTCCAAAACAATTGAACTCCATGAATTTGGAATATTGAATTCCAATTCAAGTTCCACCATGGAATCCATTATGTCATTAATGACACAATCTACACACCAAACAACACATTAAGTTATTAGTTGCAAAAAGTTTTTTTTATCTCTTCTGAAACCTATTTCATTGGATAATATCTTTTTATTTTGATTTTGATTATCTATTAACATTAATTTTATTAAAAAAGATAATAAAACCATAAACTTCTTTATATTAATATTGGACCACTATTGCTATGAAAACAAAACAGGGACCGTTTTTAACAGTATTTACTATTTCTATGTAATCATAGTATTTAGTTAATATTATTGTCTTTTCTTCTGGGATAATAATAAAAGTAGAATGCTATTTTTAAAAAAGATAATAAAACCATAAACTTCTTTATATTAATATTGGACCACTGTTGCTATGAAAACAAAACACGGACCGTTATTAACAGTATTTATTATTTCTATGTAATCATAGTATTTAGTTAATATTATTGTCTTTTCTTCTGGGATAATAAAAAAAGTAGAATGCTATTATAGGATTCACAATTATTGAAACTGCATTGATACAATTAGATACAACACATATGAAAACCACACACATATAGAAACAAACGAAATAAACATGAAAGAAATAATATAGTATTCAAAAAAACTCCAACACCATAAAACAATATAAAGTACTTGTTCCAAAATTGAGACTGTCTAAAAAACAACCAACAACCATCTACAAACCATTATCCAAAATATCAAAAACTGCAAAAAAAAAGGAAAACAAACATCCCACAAACCAATACCAAATAATTTAAGACTCATTAAAAACACCAACACACTCTATTTCTCTTTCTTTGGAACCAAAAGAGGAGTGTTGTCATCGCTTGAGAATCGTTTTGGCTTTATTGTTGATAAAACATCGGGTGAATCAACATCATACACCTCATTCAAATTGCGCTTTATGTAGCGCCCGCAGATTCGGGCTAGTCAATTTAGAGACGATAAGCGTCAAAAATGACTTTTTTATAGAGGATTATTTAGAATAAATAACCTTAACTAAGTTGTAGTATATGTCACAAGGTTTCCGTACATATAAAGAACGTCGAAATCCGAGTTATAACGAAGAAGTTATGACCTGTCGAAGTTTCGCGACAAAACCGGCACGACACCGGGAATCGTAAAAAGTGAGTTTATGATAGACTACTTTTTAGCCTTAGGTTTCTAAAAGAAAGTTGACGTCTCCACCTTCGCGTGGATATAAAGAACATAAAAAATGGAGCTCGTATGCAAAAGTTATGGCCTTCCGAAGATGCAGCTGTCTAAGGGCATGACACGTGGCAGAAACCCTAGTCGCCTTAAATCACGACGTGAAACGTGTCAGAGACACTAATCGAGGCTAGAAAACACGCGTTAAAGCTACGAGATGACTCATGGAAGTTCACGACGTGAACCTATCATGTTCACGACGTGAATGGGCCCAGAACACCCTATAAATAGCGATCGAGACCCTTTCATTCCTTACACCTTCTACTTTCTTTCTCTCTCGTTTTCTGAAGCCGTTCCACGTCCCGAGCCCGACGATTACGAACCGCCGACCGTTTCTAGTTAAATTCTGTCAACTCACGCTAATAAGGTGAGTACATATTATTTTCATCTTACACATAGATATGAAGTATTTTATATAAATTACGTGCTATGTGTGCATATTATCTGTATACTTGGTATCTATGATGGATGAACAATTTTATAAATGTTTTAATTTATTTAAATTGTATATGTATTTTATATCTACAAATATGTTGGGTAAAACATGGGTAGATGAATTAGATGATGTGTGATGAAATAAAAATTGATGAGAGGTATCGATGTTTAAGACGATCTAGTCATCTAGCAGAGTATAGACATAGTTATTTGTTATTAATCTGGGAGTATGGATTAGGTATTTTTGAACTATGTGTTCATCCGTTAAGTATCATGTACAAAGTTCTTCTTTTTGACACTATTGTGTGTCGGGGTACGGGAGCGTACGGAAGTACTTTATTAGTATTTTCCCTATACTTTTTATTTTGAAGAGCTTTGGAGTCTTCGTTTCTTTTATGAAGTGATCGGACGAGCTTCATATGTCAGCGTTTCCGTTCACGATATTCAGACCACTGCTAGGCAAAGTTCGATGTCGGATAGGGTGAGTCTGGGGGTAAAATACCTCACGATATTCAGACCACTGGGGTGAGTCTGGGGGTAAAATACCTCACGATAATCAGACCACTGCTAGGCAAAGTTCGATGCTGGATAGGGTGAGTCTGGGGGTAAAATACCTCACGATATTCAGACCACTGCTAGGCAAAGTTCGATGTTGGATAGGGTGAGTCTGGGGGTAAAATACCTCACGATATTCGGACCACGGCTAGGCATTGTTCTCTAGATAACTACCCCTGACTTAATTGTCTTGTGGTTCTTTCTTTTACGAACGAAGGTTCGTGGTGAAAATTATTTCATTCCCCTCATTTGATGTCTTTATCGATCCTCGTTTGCTGCTAGGGAATTTCCGAAGCAGCTTCGTCAGTTTGTTGTTCATATCGATCCTTTAAGCTAGATCTTGTAAGATCATTGTATATGATCAGTACGTGGGGATCGACGTTCGTTAGTGCTTGGAGTATAAACCTCGGGCAGCGATGGACTTCGTGCCTATTCCTTAGGATAATCCTTAGGAATGAAGGATAGATGATTCTTAGGGTAGATCCTTAAGATTAAAGAAGATAATGGGGATGGGTAATTGGGTTGATTGTTTGATGATTAAATATAATAATTATATTATTGTGGGTTGAAAACGCTATGTACTCACCAGGTTTCCCAACCTGACTCACTCAAGTTTATTTGTATCACAGGTGTCGATACGAAACTACTTTACACTGAGAGATTTAAAGGAGATGTAGATCACTAGTGTAAATAAATGTAAAGTCTGTTTATGCTTATGTTTCAGTATTGACGATGACATCCCAAAGTTTTAATATGAACAAAATACATTTCTTCGGAAATGCTTTGGTAATATATTTATCATGTTTTTATGGGAACAAATTCCGCAACATTTTTATTAAAAAAAAGTACTCTGATTTTCAAATAAAGCATAAACAAAATCGGTCTTTTCTGGCCGTGAAATTTGGGGATGTCACACTTTAGATCAATTGTGTTGTTAAAAGGCTTAGGGGCTATTTGATAGTTGCTTACCGAGTAAGATCTGACTGAGTTTGAAGCTCTGACTGCATATGCTTCTGACTAAAACTATGTTGTTTGATTATGCATCTGACTGGGCGTTGAAAATGACTATTTTACCCTTCTGTTTTGTTTGTGCTTAATTAAATGCATCTGTTTTATACAAAGCATTGGACATCATTACGGTGCTTGGCCCAAAATTGGGCCTTCAGCTGAATATTAAGAAAATCGAGCTCTTTTGGCCCTCGTGTGATGGTAGGAAGCTACGGGAGGGGCTATTTCCGGCGAACATCGGGAGGCCTCCTTTGGGGGTGAAACTTCTTGGGGGAGCTGTTAGTAGAGATGCTAGTTTCATTCGCAGCTTAGCCATAAAGAGAGCCGAAAACGCTGTGAATTTGATGCGCCTTCTTCCACAATTGTCTGACCCACAGAGTGAGCTCCTTCTTCTTCGGTCTTGTATGGGTATTGTTAAGCTTTTCTTTGGGTGGAGGACGTGCCAACCCGTTCACATGGAGGAGGCGGCAATATTCTTTGACAATGGATTGCGCGGGGCGATTGAGGACATTGTGGTTTGTGGGGGCCCTTTCTTTGGTGACATACAATGGCGAATTGCTTCCTTACCCATTAGGTTTGGGGGGTTGGGTTTATACTCGGCAGTAGAGGCTACCTCTTATGCTTTTGTTGCCTCAAGAGCCCAATCTTGGGTATTGCAAGACCACATCTTACAGGATAGCGGTATACATGGTATGGATTCTGATTATGATTGTGCCTTGACATCTCTTCGCAACAAGCTTCCAGATTTTGACCTTAACAATTTTACTACTAAAGACACCACCCCCCCTAAATCCCATAATACACTGGCGAGTGCCCTTTTTCGTAAAATTGTCCAAGATATGGAAGTGCATCTCGACATGACGGCTCGGCAGAAAGCGGTTGTCCAGTGCTTACGTGCACCACATGCTCAAGATTTTCTTCTGGCTATCCCTATAGATGGGCTTGGCCAACACATGTCTCCCGTGGAGTATCGTACTATTCTCAAATATCGACTCATGATTCCCATATTCCCAGCTGATGAGATATGTCCTGTGTGTCGCAAGACATGTTTGGACTCTTTTGGAGAGCATGCAGTTCACTGTAAAGAACTCCCGGGGTTCAAATACAGGCACGATATGGTTAGGGATGTTTTGTTTGACATATTTAAGCGTGTCGGGGTTTCCGCTAAGAAAGAGGCACCTGTTAATTTCTTGACTGACCCGACAGAAGGAAGGTCAACCCTCAGACCGGCTGACATTTTGATTTTTGGATGGGTCGGAGGGAAACATGCATGTGTGGATCTTACAGGGGTATCCCCTCTCGTGGGCCTGAGGGCTGGGGGTTTCACGGCGGGACATGCTGCTTTTAAAGCAGCTACAGGCAAAGTCACCAAACATGAGAAATCGTGCATGGAAAATCAACAAGTGTTCATACCATTTGCATTTGATACGTTTGGTTTCCTCGCACCGGATGCGTTAGAGCTTCTTAAAAGAGTACAACGAATCATGCATAGTAATGTTATATCTCCTAGATCTTCGGATGTAGTCTTTAAAAGAATTAGCTTTACCATTCAAAAAGGCTTAGCGGCACAGCTTATTGCCCGTTTGCCATCTCACACATTGTATGATGACAACTAAAAAATGATTTTTGATTATCTATGGAAAGATATCTTTTGTTTTAAAAAAAAAATTATACAATATCCGAATAAAATTTATAAAACTAATGATTAGTTATACAAAATATCATAAAAATTCAAATTAAATGTAAATAATTTCAAAGTTTATAAACAACAAATCTTACCAAAGCTTATGAACAACAATACATTCGAGTTATTAACAAACATAACCAAATAACAAACAAAAGATCACATATATCTTCCACACATATAAGTACTATGCAACAAAATTCCAGCAAACGATTTTTAACCACTTGGATGATCTCGAATAGATTAGCAACAATTAATAATTATTAGTATGTAACATCAACTTTAGGGGCATTTTAGTCCAAACCCAGACAATTTTAGCAGCACCATGAAGAACCTGACCAACAACTCCGATGATGTAAGATGCAAAAAGATAAGATATATTTGGAATAGAGTAGCCTCATAACTAGCACCAATAACAACACCTGCAAAATAAATATGAACACCAAATAAGCCCATATCCCAAGTACACGTAGTAGGACATGAAAGAACACACAGTGAACATCCCACCATAGAGTATTCATATCATAATAGTTGAAATTGATATACCTGTGGTGAAATCAGCATCGATTTCTGTTGGGGAAGGTCCGATTTTAGCATCAGTTTCAGACGATGCCGCCAAGGAGATAGACTTGCACGCCACTCATCTCTAATTTCTGAATGGAATCAGAAAATTGGCGATTCAACCTATTGAATTTTACGATGGTAGTCTTCGCTTTTGGTGAAATCAACATCGATTTTAGATGTGGAAGAGAGGTGTAGCAGGGGCAAGGGGTGATTTGGTTGTTGGTGTGCTCAAGAACGAGGAGATAGACGCGTTTACGGAAAAGGGCATCAACGGAAGTTTTCCAGTCAACTATAATTTTAGGATGACTCGGTAAGATATAAAACGACCCGGTCAGAGCTATAAAATGTGTAAAACAAACAACATGATTGGGCCGACTAAGATGATATCTCTTACTGGACCAGTAAGAGGCTTATCAAACAAGCCCTTAATTGGACTCATCACGGTTGATTTTTCTAAAGTCGAAGGAGTTACATTATCTCCGGTCTAAGAAGCACAATCCTAAAGTTGAACAAATAATTTTTGGTTAGTTGTCTTTCAACTCGAGAGTAAATGTTAAATATTTTCATTAACAATCTCAAGTGGGAGTATTTATATAATATATACCTTTACAACTTTTATATCATCTGAATATGAGACATTGGTTTATTGATTATATGATTGGGATCCACCACCATTCATAATAAAATGTCAATCGTAAAGGTTAGTTAGTTAGCAATATAAATTATATTAAATACTATTGGAGTTAGGGTATATACCAAAGTTTCAACTTTGCTCTCTAATTCAGAAATTATTCCAGCATCTTCAACAATTTTGTTAATAGAATATAAGTTGGGCAGGTTTGTTACATTGTAAGTTGTAACTTCAACTAAGAAAGCTGCTTTTCGTTGTTTCAAAACGTTTAATTCAGGTGGGCACATAGCCAAACTATCACCTCTCTATTGAGCAAAAAAATGTATAAATACATAGATAAGAAAAAGGCATATAATAAAGATATTATACCTTCTTGACTATATAGACTAAATCATTCGCACTTAAATCCAACATTTTCCTCGCATCTCTATCAAAAAGTGATATGGAAATCGTTCATGTACCATCCTGAACATTGATAGGGATAAGATACCTGTATGAAAAAGAAGAATCAAAATAAATTTACATGTCTGAACAATACAATAAAGTAGATTAATAAAAAAATAATATGTAAAATGTAAAATGTAGAAAAAGTAAATAGTTAAAGTGCAAGATTATAATATACCTTCAATGGTTGGACGACATCACAAACATTTTTTATTTCCAAATCACTTTGAATCCAATGATTTTTTTATTTCCAAATCACTTTGAATCCAATGATTTGATGAAAAAGTCTGACTTGACAGTACAGTAATACTACTTCCAGATTTCATACATCCATCAACACCTACAAACCTATATTATGTAATTAAATGATTAAAATATAAATATGAAGATTAACAATTATGTATATCATAAAACTTAAAAAATAATAATAATAAAACTAACTTTTTTCCGGTACTCGTTAATCTCCTCAATATCAGCATTAACCAACAATTTAGTAGAGTCGTAATAAGATTGAACTCCAACACGATCTGAAAAGAAAAAATAAAAAATAAAAAAACATATATTTTTCATACCAAAGTACATATTTGAATATTATCACAAACCATTCCAACCATTAAGGGCAACAAACTCGACAATTATGATAACACATGAAACATCTGTGTTTTTTGTCAAAAAATCACTTAGCTGATGGGCTTGAAATCCATACAAAGTAATTCTAAGCTCTGTACCCCTGTAATAATAAAGTTCAATTTCTAACATAATAAACAACATATACATATATAAGAAATAAGATATAAAGTGAAGGTTAAAGAACTCACTCTAAGTTAACTTGATGTTGTGCTTTGATTGATTTGAGTTAGATGCATCAAGATCGCGACGTGAAACGATATGTCCGATTACATCTAATAATGATAAAAAGAATAACGTGACTTATAGGGATAATGAAAATAATGTAAAAAAAAACAAGTAAAAAAACTAACCAAAACATGACTTTTTGGGACAGTTTTGCTGTAAAATTGATCCAAAATCAACAAAAACAAAAATATGAACTGGACATCGAAAATCATTACATCTCTAACAATGGTATCCCATTGCAAAACAATATGATGCTCTTGTTCAGTAATATTAAAACCATATCCCATCATAGCCATGTTTGGATTCTTTATCATTAAAGTGTCTCCAGCATTCAGAAGATGTTGGAACCTATGGAATTGACTGTTGAAAACACGACATTGAATCTTTGTGCTCTATAGACAAAATAAGAAGGTTAGTAAATGATATAAAATAAATATAAATAAAGGTAAATATAACTACTTCAAGTAACATGTTCATCCATAAGGATCATTTCAATGGACAAGATTTGTGTTTTAAACTTTGGTATGAAATTCCACATGCTAACTATTCAAACTTTAAAAGTGGTATCACGTGGCACCACACCAATGTCATTCAAGTAGGTGATGGTTAAAGTAGACATGATGCTGAAAGTAAATAGTGTAGAAAAGGAGTTAAGTAAAAAGTATACAAACGATAATTGTTTTAGGTAATGTTGGCATTCATTTAGCATTCCTGAAAATGTATCCAATTTATAGGATTGTAATTTCCAATTATACTCTTTTTGATTTTTGTAGAAAAAAAGTTATGAAACAAAGTATGATAGTATTAAAACATTATTGAAAGTACATTGCAGAAATCGAATGCAGCTTTGAACTTTGGTACCTCGAAGAAACAAGGGAAGTAAATAGGGTATCGGTTTTAAGTTTCTGAGAATAAGATATTAGTTGATTTATTTCTAAGAATTGAATAGTTTCCAATTGAAATGTCTATTTTGTAGGTACGCAAGTATGCAACTTTTAGGCGGGAATATGGCATGTAGCATTGTACAATAACAAAGTCATTATGTTTAGCAAATAAAAAGCCTAAAATCAAAGGATGATAAAAACTGGAAATCTTTGAAACCGGTATTTGATTCCTAATCTTATGGTAGTCGTAATTATCGTAATTTGTATTTGTAATTTTATTATTGATTGATGTTGATTTGTTATTGATATTGATGTTTCGTAATTGAAAACCGATAATGCGGGAAATGCCTCTTCACATGACACGTGGCAAATGATGAGTTGGAGGGCGATGAAGATGACATGTGTAATGAAGGAACTATTCATTTATTAGTAAGGGTAGATTGAATTGAAATGCAAATAAATAGAAAATAGTTAAAATGAATTATGAAAACTTTAATGTGTTAGTTGAGAAATACATGTAATTAGTTAAGATGATAATAATAAATTTCAAAATTGCCAAAAAGTAAAAAAAAAAAATAGATTCCAGAAATCAAACTGACCAAATAGTAAAAAAAAAAAAATAGACGATAGTTTTCATAACTCCATAAACCAGTAGAAAGATTAATTTTGTAAATCTTATGTGTTCTTGAGCCAATTGAACCATTGACTGGTCCTGCCAACCCATGATCTTAACACAAGTATACCAATATAGATTGTCGCCATAAATCGTTGTATTTTTTATTTAGAAACGTTAAAATAACAGATAAATTATGTTCATCTATATTAAAAGAAATGTTTATATTTTTTTTCAGAAACGTTAAAGTAACAGATTAGATATGTACCTAATGGAGACTGAAGGTTGAAGCCTATGGACGAACCGATTGGAAGATGACAGATACAAAATGCGGAACTCGTAGAAGGTCTGGAACAGTTTAAGTTTAAGAAAGAAGGGAAGAAAATATGTATTGGTTTCAATATATGGTTTCAATATATGGAGTCAGATTACAAAAGATTTTGAAAATCCCTGAAATGTTGGGATGATAAAACTTGAAAACAGAAAATTATGGAATGCTATCAAAATAAAATCCATTTATTTTTTGAAAGTTATTATGGAATGCTTAATGATTTCGTTTGACCACCGTAACTATTGAAAGTCAAGTATTAAATGGTATTTAAGTGATTAGTTATTTACTTATTCAAACGATTTTGTATTAATATCACATATTTAAAATTTCGGATTTTTTGTGAATGTGTGAAATGTTGACAATTGACAATAGTTGGCATGGCATTAGAGGAAGATGACAAATGGACATGAAAACTATTGTTTTATTAGTTAGGGTAGATAGGGTAGAAGTGTTTATAATGTTAGTTATAAGATTTTATAAAAAAAAAATGTTTATATCAAGCAAGGGGCTAGGGCGTTGGACTTGTGTTTGTTTTTTCTTTTCTTTTCTTAAATTTTTAAGTGTTTATTATGTTAGTTATAAGATTTTATAAAAAAGATGTTTATATCCTCCGATAAGCAAGAGGTTGGGGCGTTGGGCTTGTGTTTGTTTTTTCTTTTCTTTTCTTAATTTTTAAGTGATTATTATGTTAGTTATAAGATTTTATAAAAAAGACGTTTATATCAGTGTTGTAAAAATTCTAATTAATCTCCGAGTAATCTCTAGGTGCTACCCGACCGATTCGAGGGTGCCTAACGATTAATCTGTGTCTACACAATGAACGAAACAGTAGAAAATGATGAAATTTTAACACTTTGAAGAAGTTAAATCTCAGTAGAAACTATTTGAGGAATGATTAGTGTTGTATTAATCATATTAACTTATTGTGTTATGATGTTAGTGACATTTACGAACGTTATGGTACTAGTCATATTTGTTTTTTAAAATTCAACGAATTAGCAATTTATAGTCTCTGATTAATCCCCGCCTAGCCGATTAATCATTTAACCTTAGTCCACCGACTTATGTCAATCGTTTTTTACAAATATGGTTTATATTAATATATGGGGTGTGATAAAAAAAGCTATAAGATATAAAAAAAATTATGTTTGGCAAATTATTTATAATTGTAAAATGATAAAAAAAAGGTGATGAAAAGAGGGAATAGGAGGAAAATGAGTATAAGATTGTTAATGATAGTATAGTCTTTTTATTTAAAAAATAAAAAGATAATCATAAAAAGTTTCAAGAATGAGAAGGGAATGATATTTTAAAAACGCTTTATTATATATATACAATTAAAAGTGCACAAGCTTATGAACACTAACCGACTTAGGGGTCGTTTGATAGTTGCTGACTGAGTTAGAGCTGACTGGGTTAGAAATGCTGACTGAGTCCACATCTGATTAAGTTTATGCTGTTTGATTATTTCTCTAATTGATTGTGCTGAATCATTAAAATGACCATATTACCCTTATGTTGTCGATTGTGCTAGATAAAATAATTAAAAAAAAATACAAACTATCACATAAAATCCCAATTAAACATACATCATTTAAAATCCAAATATAAAGTGTCATACAAAATCCAAATACAAAATGTCATACAATACCATGACATACCAATCAATAACATAACAAACCATAACATATAAATGCAAAACACTTAACATTCCATAACATATAAAGCCAACAACAAAAATCTGTAAAAGTCAAACAATGAACTATAATATACTAAAGTCAAACAATTAATCCAAAAATCTCTAAAAAAAATCCATCACATGTTGGGTAAAACTTAGGAATATAAAATTTATAAACTCAAAACATTCTGTAATGGATTTGGAAGTAGTTGTATCTCCATGTCTTGGTATGTGTAAATTGGCCCACATTTGCTAATTTATTATATCCTTTTGAAGATAATGTTTGCTCATTGCTCTTGTCACTAATTAATGGAACATGAACATCACTGTCCTTCAATCGAAGTCCCCATTTGCAATAAAGTTTTTATAAATTATTGTGTGTGGCAGGTTCATTCAGAATCAAACATAAAAAACGGATTTTATACATCATAAAAAAATGATGCGATGATCACTTATGGCCTCGAGTAAAAAAAAAACCAAGAAGAAGAAGAAGATAACCTGCTGATGTCGATTTCAGAATTGAAGTCGTCCACACTTATTGAGAAAACGTCGAAGCAGGAGGAATCGCCTGAGGAATGTGATGCGTGATTTCTGTTTTAGGGCGCAAGGGCACAAACGGGAATATGAGGTTTTTTTTTTCGGTCAGCGTTGTTTTTGTGGGGGACCGAGTCAGCCAATGGGTCAGCTATTGCCGACCGAATCAGTAATTTTGGAGGCCCATCAAACAGTCTGACTGCTGACCCAGTCAGCAGTCAGCTCTGACCGGTCCGGGTAAGTGCAAAACAAACGACCCCTTACCTAGTAACTGTTCATCAGCTTGTGGCTAAATACGTGTACAGTCGTCGACTCACCGTCTTTGTCCTCCAATTACAATGTTCACTGTCTCCTCTGTTTACCATTACACCAGTTTAAGCTCATAGTCATTCTCCATCTTCATTTTTTTGCATCCAAACAAATATTTATGGCAGCGGCGATGCCTCCGAGATCGGCGAAGAAGACGGTGTGATGTCGATCGCTACATGTCACCACGTTGAAGCGAACCATCAAAGAACGCTTCTCGTCTGCTTCTTATTCTGAACTGGACACTTTAATCCTCTCTAAGGTTTATCTCCTTTTTTTTCTTTTTATTTTGTTGAATTGATTCCTATGATACATTAATTAACATGGGGTTCCTTTTGCCTCTTCTTCTATTTGGTTGTTGGAAATATTTTCATGTCATTGTCACTTGAAATAAGTTGAGTGTTGATTTACATTTTCTAATAAATATTATCAATATGTTTCAGTTCATGGATGTGACATCCCCATTTTCACGGACAGAAAAGACCGATTTTGTTTATGCTTTATAAAAATCAGAGTACTTCTTTTAATAAAAATGTTGCGGAATTTGTTCCCAGAAATACATGATAAATACGTTATCAAAGCATTTCCGAAGAAATGTATTTTTATTCATTTTAAAACATTTGGGATGTCATCGTCAATACAGAAACATGAGCATAAACAAAACTTACATTTATTTACACTAGTGATCTACATCTCTTTTAAATCTCTCAGTGTATAGTAGCTTCGTATCGACACCTGTGATACAAATAAGCTGGAGTGGGTCAGGTTGGTAAACCTGGTGAGTACATAGGGTTTTCAACCCACAATAATATAATTATTATATTTAATCATTGTAACTTCTATGTTTCTTCAAATGCGTCTCTAACTCCTGGTCTTCTTGACTGCAAGCGGTGCTTGATCTTGCACCCGTTCTCTATGCCTCGTTAGACTTTCAATCATGACCTTCATGTCACAACCTCGCTCTTTATCAGAGACTTCTTCTTCTTCTTAACTTAAGATAAGTTTATTTGATTACTACAATGGACAGATGTGTCATATTCTAATGACCTATCATCGTATGTTGCAACGTTCAGACTCAAGTCTCTTAAAGTCAAATTTTGGAATGGAATATACTTTCCTTCATGTTCTGATCACATCTTAAAAGGTAGCATTTCTAGCTACAGGAAACTGTCGCGATATCTCTACTGATCGCTTTGATTATCTTTTATTTCAATCTCCCGACTTAAGTCGGATGTTACATCGAACTTGGTTCTCTGAACCACGTAACATACTC